GGTGGGTGGGGCTCCCTGGGCGGGGCTCCAAGGCCGGGTGGGCGGGGCTCCCAGGCCGGGGTGGGCGGGGCTCCCAGGGCTGGCCACTGGTCTGCCGCTTGACCCTGTCCTTGTCCTTGCAGGGCAGCACGGAGCCGCCTGTGCAAACCAGCAAGATCGGGCTGGGGCGCCGGGAGTACCAGAGCCTGCAGCACCGCCACCACGCGCAGCGGTCCCGCTGCCGCCCGCCCAAGGGCATGTACCTGACCCAGGAGGACGTGCTCGCCGTCTCCTGCAGCCCCAACGCCGCCAGCACCATCCTGAGGCAGCTGGACGTGGAGCTCATCTCCCTGAAACGCCAGGTACCGTGGCCCGTGACGCTGGCGCCCGGCCCCCGCTCAGCCTCAGCCACATCCCCGTCCACCTCGCTGCCCTGGCCGCAGCGCCAGCCGTGTCTGTGAGGCCGGGCCCTGCTCGCCTGGCGGGGGTCAGTGCTGCGTGAGATGGAGACCGCCGGGGCTGACCCGCCGGGGGCCAGCTCACCCGTGTTCAGCCTCACCGGCCGCCCCACAGGTGGTGGCTGCGGCTGCCCAGAGCTGCCCAGAGCTGCCCGTCGGGGACCCCGAGTGGCTGACCTGAGCCCCAGCCGGGCCCGGAGGGGCCGTAACCTCGGAGGGACGCTCTTCTCTCAGAGGCTTCCGCACCCTACGATGGGGGCCTTGCTAGACGGCTGGGGGCCTCGCCAGGTGGCTGGGAGCAGTGAAGTGAGAGGCTCCCCTCGTGGTGAGGTGCTCACACCAGCCCCCGAAGGCTGTGCTCGGCTGCAGCTCCTGCCCAGCCCCGCCCTCTCCCTGACGTTCCTGCCGCTGCTGGCCTCCCCAGGCCTCCCTGTCCCGAGTCTGCATTTTCCTGGTGTCTCTCCCCTGACCTTACACGCTGCGGGTGTCTGCTGAGCTGCTCAGTCAGGAGCCAGCCCCAGCCACGCCATGGCATGTCCCTGGCCACCACCACAGCAAAGCTCATGGCCACGGCACAGCATGCCCACAGCACCGCCACAACCACTGCGTGGCCACAGCCACAGTACACCCACAGCACTACTGCAACCACAGCGTGTCCATGTCCTATAAGTGGCCATGGCCACAGCACGGCATGCCCACGGCCACGGCTACAGCACACCCACAGTACCACCGCGACCATAGCATGTCCACGTCCTATCCATGCCCATGGCCACAGCACAGCATGCCCACAGCACCGCCACGGCCACCGCATGGCTACAGCGTGGCCACGGCCACAGAACCACTGTGACCATAGCATGTCCACGTCCTATCCATGGCCACGGCGCCACATGCCCACAGCACAGCCACGGCCACGGCACCAACACGACCACAGTATGTCCACGTCCTATCCGCGGCCATGGCCACAGTGCACCCACAGTACCACCACATCCACAGCATGTCCACGTCCTATCTGGCCATGGCCATGGCACTGTATGCCCACAGCACCACCACAGCCACCACATGGCTACAGCGTGGCCACAGCCAAAGCACCACTGCAACCACAGCATGTCCATGTCTTATCTGTGGCCACGCCCACAGCCACGCCCACAGCTTCCACTAAGCAAGCCTGCCTGACTCCCTGCTCCTTCCCAGTGACTCCCAGCAGTGCGCTGGGCCCCCCCTCTGCCTGCCGTCCCCAGGCGGAGCGCACCTTCGCGGCAGCCCTGTAGAGCGTCTCCACCCGTGTTCTCCACGGCTAGAGCCCGGGCATTCCTCACGGGCCGCAAGGATGGCTTTGGCTTCTCCGGGCTCCTTCCTGGGCCCGGGCGTCCTGCACGGCTCAGACCCCCGGAGCCGGGGCTTGTGTCAGGCCGGCAGGGCCGATCCTCCCTCCTGCACACGGCGCAGTGGCCTGGGTGTTGCGTCTCCTTCCCCGTGCAGTGCCGCAGTGGCATTTTGTGCACAATAAACACCTAGTATGCATCAGCCCTCGTCACTGTTCCCAGAGCAATTGCCACGTGGCCCCTTGAGTGCGCTGACGGTCTGCGTGGCGTGATCTGATTCGCGGCTTGGGTTGTTTCCTTGAAGGTTCAGAATGCCAAGCAAGTAAACAGTGCACTTAAACAGAAAATGGAAGGCGGCATTGAGGAGTTCAAGCCCCCTGAGGTATGTTGCTGAGCAGACCGAGTGGCTGAGTGTGGGGGCTTGCTCTGTGGCTTCCCGGCATCACCCGACCCTACTTTGGTTGATGCTCGGAAACTTCGGGACGTGGGTGGTGTGTTGTGTCTGCTTTGGTCTTCGGGTTTTTTGTTTTTTTTTTGTAACTGGGGTGCAGGCCAGAGGTGCAGGGGTGAGAGGACTCCCCGGAGACAGAGCGGGGAGCAGAATAGGCAGACGGATGAAGTCCGCTGCTGAGGGGGGCAGCGGGGAGACAGGAGGGGTCTGCCGCGCCCTGGGGGTCCCCTCCGGGGCTGGGGATCGAACTTGCTCTGTGGCCGGCTTGCAGGGCTGCGTCCGAACCTGTTGCACCACCAGGGAAGGTCCAACCTCTGTAAAATTCCCAGTTTTCTCTGTCTTCACCTTTTTCTTCTTTTCCGTCTCTTTTCTGTCTGTCGGGTCTGGTTTACTCTCGTCCACCTCGCGTCCTGTCCCCTCCATCTCGATTTTGCAGCCATGCTGTGGCCTCCTCCGGCCTCTCACTTGGGCCGTGGCCGCCATGGCCGCCAGCCTTCCACTGTCCCTTTCAAGCAGCGTCGAGAATCCGCTGCTCGCCTGTAGGTTTTTTCCTCCCCCACTGTCTGTCCTTCCCCTTTCTCATCTGATCGTTTTGTCTTGACTTCTTCTGCCTGCCTGCCTTGCTCACGGTGAGGAAGCCGTGGCTGCCTGAGCGCCGCGTCCGGGAGGGGCTCCCGCTGGCCAGCCCAGATGAGGCGGCCCCGGGTACCCGCTCCCCCGAGTCACTGGGCTCTGCCTGGGTCCTTCCTTCTGCAAACCTCTGTCGCCGTCGAGCCTGTCCCTTGCCAGAGCCCTTGACGTCCGGCCCTGGGTGTCACTGAGAGTTCCACCAGGTGTTGAATATTATATTGTTGCCGTGATAGATACCTTGGGATTTTTTTTTTTTTTAAAGATTTATCTATGCATACAGAGCTGGGGTATGGCCCAGAGGTGCAGGGGCGGTGAGAGGACTCCCCAGAGACAGAGCGGGGAGCAGAACAGGCAGATGGATGAAGTCCACTGCTGAGGGGAGCAGCGGGCGGGTCAGGAGGGGGCTGCCGCGCCCTGGGGGTCACCCTTTGGGGTGGGGATCAGACTCGCACCAAAGTGGCTTTAGCTTCTCAGTGCTGAGCTTTAACCCGTGACACTGCCAGGGAGAGTCTGATACCTTAGGATTTTTTTCAAGAAAATGTTGGGAGAGAGATGGGTGGTCTTGCGAGTGGGTGGAGGAGGGAGGAATCCCTTTCTGCTTCAAAAATTTAAGGAAATATTTTAGGGTTTAGGTCTGGTCTACGGTTCAGTGTTAATTTTATGCAACACTTTCCGGTGGAAAAAGTTTAACCTGAATTTGAAGACATTTTAGAGAGTCACAGAAGAAACTAACACATTTAAGAGCAGGCTGGGCCTCCCTGGGGGCGCAGCGGGTTCAAGCTCAGCACTGAGAAGCTGAAGCCACTGCGAGTTCGATCCCCGCCCCGGAGGGGACCCCCAGGGCGCGGCAAACCCCTCCTGTCTCCCCGCGGCTCCCCTCAGCAGTGGGCTTCATCCATCTGCCTGTCCTGCTCCCCGCTCTGTCTCTGGGGCGTCCTCTCACCCCCACGCCTCTGGCCTGCACCCAGCTCTGTCTGCAGAAATGCATAAATCTTTAAAGAAAGAAAAGCAGGCTCACGTCCCAAGCGCAGCGTGCCACGGGGCAGTTGAGTGGAAGCGGGAGGCCGCGGCTCTCCCGCTCAGTCGCTGATGGGGTCGGCGCCGTCGTCTGTCGGGGCCTCCCCCGGGCGGATGCTGTGTGTGGGCGCCGGGGAACTGAGAACGTGCGTTTGAAGCCTCATAAGAGCGGCATCGTCATGAGCCACTTTGATCGTGTCTGAGAGTTGGGGAAAAGTCACAAAAAGAACTCAGCGCCGGGAAACGGTCCGTCTCCATGTCCACACCCTCACTCGGAAACGTCTTTCATTTTTACAGTCAAATCAGAAGATCAACGCCCGCTGGACCACAGAGGAGCAGCTCCTCGCGGTACAAGGTACGCCGAAGACCCGCAGGCCTCGCCGCTGCCCAGGCAGCTTGCCCTGAAGGTGCCCCGAGCCCCCCGGGAACGCCTCGGCGCGACCCGCACCCGCTGGCTGCGCCCTGGTGTGGACGGTGGCCCCGGCTGGGCTTGACTCGCCGGGAAGCCCCCGACGGGTGCCCGTCTCGGGCCTCTGGGAGCACAGGGTCACGGTGCTTGAGTGAGGAATGCCACGAGCCTGCTGTGGCACTGCCTGCCGGGCGGCCCAGCCTGCCCAGGAGAGGCGTCCCCAGGGCCAGGCGTGCGTGGCCGGAGAGGCACTCAGAGATGCCGAGCTCGTGCCTGAGAGCTGTCAATGCCCATTTCTGGAAGCGCCTTCGACTCGTGGGCTCGAACGCTTCCCCGTGGCGGGTGCGTGGCACGCTGCCGCTCACAGCTTGGGGTCCCTCCCGTCCGAAGCTTCCTAAGCAGGGCGCACGTCTCTATGCGCACTGTACGTCGCTGCCCCCTGGAAGATGAACCCTGCGGGGCAGGGGGGCTGCAGCCCGGGCTGCCGGCTGGCTGAGCTCTGCCCACGCACCCCCGGGACACG